TTGAGTGACTGCATGCAGTGAGCATGTGCCCCCAATACCTGACCAAGTCAGATCACACCAGTGAGGCCATAGCACCCCAATTCATCTACTCAAAAGATGGTAACTGTTGTTCTTGTCATTAGTGTGGGACTTGGAATCTCTTGTTGGGATCCTCACAAAAACTTAAACCTCAATGGCATCTACGAGCTGGTTCCAACTCACAGTAGCTCTCTATTGGGTTTCCAAGTCTGTAAATCTTAACGGAAGGAGATGCCCATCTCTCTCCCTCAGAGGCCTTGGTGAATTCCAAACACCAGAGGTGTGTGGCCTTTTGGTGCAGTACAACACCCTCCAGGCTACATCACCAGAGCTCCCTGCTGTTGTTACATACCATTGAGTCGGGACCTACTCTTACCTGACACTCCAGTCGGTTTTCAGAAGCTGTAGATCACACAGGAAGAGATCTGTCCATCTTTTTTCCTGAGGATTTGAACCACAAGACTCTTGGGTTGGTGGCTAACCCCTTACCACTAAGCCATCAGATCTCCCTATCCAGGGTTCCTTTGCAACTATTATATGAGCGAGTTGCCACTGAGCTGATTCTGATTTGTAGCAACCCTTTTAGTTTTGCAGAGTAGAAGTGTTCCACTGGATATTGAAGGCTATGGCCAGACCTCTGAGTGGGTCTGATCAACTAACCTTTCCATTAGTAGCTCAGTGCTTAACTAGCTGCCTCACTTAGGAACTACCCCGTGGGAGAAAGGCCTAACTTAGGACCATTCTATCAGTTCAAAAAAGGAGGTGCTGGGAAACAAAGAAACTTGAGTTTGATGCGGCGGATGTGGCCAGGAAGAAGGAGATCCTCTCACCTACTCAGTGTCCTGTGCTCTCAAAGACAATGTTAACTGTCCTATGCTCTTAAACATGCTCCCTCCATGACAAAACCCAACCAGAATGAAATGAATGAAAACTGGACACAGTGGAGGATCCCAGGAAACACATACTAACAGGCAGTTTGAGCTTCAAACCCACGGCCATCAAGTTGACTCAGATTCAACCCTCCAGTGGATTTCAAGTCTGTAAATTTTTATGGAAGACTGCACACCCCTCTCTCTCTCTCAAGGATGTGCTGGTGAACTTGAACCTCCAACCTTCTTATTAGCAGGCTAACACGTAACCAGAGCTCCCTGTTGTTAGGTGCCATCGACTATTACTCACAGCGAATCTATGAACAAGAGATCTGAGCCTTGCCTTATCCTGCATCTTCTTGCTCTCTGGGATGCTCACAAGCCCGTTGAGCTAGTCGCTGTCACTACTTTGTTGACGGACTTCCTTTCCTTCTCTGACCCTCCACCTTTCCCAGCATGATTTCTCTCCAAGGACTATTTCCTCCTGATTCAGCCCAGAATAAGTGAGACAATCTCTACACCATCTTTGCCTTCAAGGAGTGCTCTGGTTCCACTTACTTCAAGACAGAGCTCCTTGCTGTTACGTGCCATGGAGGCAAGTACAACTCATTGTGACACAATGGAGAATGGCTTTGACGTTGCCCTATCCTGAGAAAATCTAACTATCAGACTCACCTGGCTCCATTGCCACAAGGCACTGTGTCAGCCCATCTCATCCAGCTTCTTCCTCTCCTGAGCTGACCTTCTACCCTTCCAAGCATGATGCCATTCTCCAAAGACTGGTCCCTCCGACAACATACCCAAAGTATTTGAGGAGGAGTTTCAAAATCCTCACCTCCAAGGTACGGTTTCACCCTCTTCAGGACAGACCTATGTGTTCTTTCAGCAGTCTGTGGTATGTCCAGTATTCTCCACATAATTCTAAGGCATTGATTCTTCTTCTATTGTCCTTATTCATTTTCCAGCTCTCAAATGGACAGCAAGCAATTTAGCAACAGAGCTCCTTGTTGTTGTTGTTGTTGTTGTTGTTATGTGCCGTCGAGTCGCTTGTGACTCATAGCGACCCTATGTACAACAGCCCTAAACCCTGCTCTATCCTGTGCCATTCTCACTGACTCTGACACTCCCATCCCGATTACCCCAGTCACTGAATCAATCCACCTCATAGAGGGTCTTCCTCTTTTGTGCCATCCCTCTACCCTCCCAAGCATGATGTCCCTCTCCAAGGACCTCTTCCCCCTTACAACATGTCCAAAGTATGTCAGACGAAGCCTCAGAGCTCCTTAGGCAGGATAAATCCAATAATACTTCCTGGAGGAAGTGAATCTAGTCTTGCAGCCGTCAGGAAAGGTAAAATTGATTGGGGTCTCTGGAGAAGTCTGTAAGGGTCAAGAAAGGGAAAGCCTGACCCCCTATACAGACCAGCAGGGGGCGTGGGGGGAGGGCTAAAAAGGAAGGGCTCAGGCCTAGAACCGATAACTTCCCAGAAGTGAGACTTCATTAGAAGGCTTTAGAGGGAAAAGGGGGGTAAAAGCAAACCCAAACAAAACCCAAACACAAAACTTGCAAAAGAGAAGTGGCTGGATTAAAAGGCACGTGTGGATGAATTTTAATGCAATCAGAAAGCTGTCATAATGATAATAAAGGAATATATTCAGACTTCAGGAGAAGAGAAGGTCCCACTCCGGTCCTAGCATTTAAAATCAGGCGCAAGCGGAAGAGGTGCCTTGTCTGTCCTGCCCTCACTCCTTCCAAAGGCACAAATAGCATTTTTAAGCAGGAAGGCCTGGCATTAGCAGGGGGGCACTTATTTATATCTTTTTTTTAAAATCTCATTTAGTCAAGAGCCTTTTATAAGGACCCCCACCCCCATCCTTGGCCTAGCCTGGAAAGGTGAATTTCAATTACTGTATTCCACCAGGGCTTTAAAAGCTCCCTTTTCACTTCAAGTAAAGCTCGGCTTATAGGAGTCAAATACAAGGCTTTCCCTCCCTGCACTCTCTTCTTTCTCTTTTCTGTCCTTTCCCTCCGCCATTCATTTCTACTCTTTCAGGTCTCCTGCCCTTTTCTCTCTTTCAGCGCCTTCTTCTAATTCCTCCCACACCTCTTTAGCCTGTCTCCAGCCTTTCCCTTTCTCCTGCTTTTCCAGTTTTCTTCCTTGGCCTGATAGATCTTGCCTAAGGCCCTGTAATGGGATGGGAATGTACCCCAAAGCCTACGCAGCCCAGGAAACCTCCCAAGCTTGTGCAGCTCCAGGCTCCAGAGTTTTGTGAAAGCTAGGCAGTGACGAGAATGGTTATCCATAGTGGACAGTGAAGCTCCCCAATTAAAACAAGCTTGGAAGCAAGAGTGGCATCCACTTCTATAATAGCTTGCCTCTGGAGAAAGGACGAAAGTTATATAGGAGGTGTCCAGGACTTTCGTTTATAGGGTCGCTATGACTCACCTGCAACTTGACGGCACTTAACAACAACAACAACAACAGGCAGTGACAAATCACTATGTTCCATAGAGGGAGCCCAGGTGGTCCAGTTGGTAAAGACTTGTGCTGCCATCCCAAAGGCAAACCACCCCAAAGGCAAAGGGCTTGGATCCACCAGCCACTATGTGAGAGAAAGAAGAGTATCCTCATCCTGTGTGGTTTACCAGCCTCTGAAAATCCACCGGAGGGTCAGCTGAGTTGGCTCTAACTCAACAGCAATAAGTGAGTGATGCTTTTCAGTGGTTGCTTTTTCAACTGCCAGGCCTTCCTTCTGAGGCACCTTGATTAGCTAGCATCTGTTCACACCACACAGGGAACCTGCTCCAGAGTAAGCAAGTATCTGCCAAAAAAGAGAGCCAGATGGAAGCTGATCCCTGCTTGGGTTGTCTCTGCCATGACTTCTGTAATTCTCTATTGATTAAAGCAGTGCTAAGTTCCACCTAGAAGAGGCTAGAATGTCAACCTCTTCTGTGGGTGGGAGAAGTGAAAAATGTGTCTAGTTTTCATCATAAGAAAGTACAGGCTGTCACAAATTAATAAAATCCATCTGATCTCTCTGGCACTGGGCATACAGTTACTGCAGTGCGGCACTTGGACCTCATCACAGGGCTGGGAACCTAACTGATAGGTGTCATGGAGTATGACTAATAGTGACCACACCGACTGTCCTGTCCTAAGCCATTCTCACAATCTTTGGCACACCCAATCCCATTGCCACTGTCACTGTGTCGACTCACCTGGTCAAGGTGTTGTTAGGTGTTATCAAGTCAACTATGACTCATGGGAACCCTATGAACAAGAGATTGGAACCTTCCCCTATCTGGTGAATCTGGAAGCTCCACAAAAGTGTCTGGGCTAAATTTTGCAACAGGAACACATAAGCGTGGTCAGTGAGGGGAGGATCTACATGGAGGTAAAAATGTGAGAGAGAAGGAAAGGAAGTGTGCTCATGGGAACAGCACAAGTCATTTATTCATAGCTGCTTGTTCATTGCACAGCTCTGTGCTGAGGGCCTACTGTGTGTCAGCACAAAGGCCTGTCTTTCCCCTCAGGGGTTAACTGTGAAGGGTCGGTTCTAGACAGAGGCCAACTACACAGGCAGAACAGCCCTTGGAAAGTCGGATCCTAGAGGCATCATGGTGAGGATGTGTAAGGATTTGGAAAGGTGAATATAAGCTGAGACCAAAAGGAAGACAAGTCAGTTTTGTGATGGGGAGATGGAGACGCTCTAGCCAAGTGCCAACAGCGTATACAAAGGCCCTGGGTGGCCACCTCCCCCAGCTGCCACGGTGAGCACCTCTCAGGGCCTGAGCCAGGACAGTACTTGTCCACGAACCCGTGTGAATTCCCCAGCTGAGCAACCAGACCGATTGGTTGTGCTGCGCTTGCGCCCGGCTATCTACAGGCAGGAGGAGGTTAGAGGCCGCGATCCTCTGGACCCAAGCTGCCCTTTGCTCCACTCCCCTCGCTTCTCCCTCTCCCTGCAGCGTTCCTTCTCCCTCTAACTCCTCTGCCCACCTTCCCTTTCCTCGCCTCCTCCCTCCCCTCCGGCGTGCTCTCCTCTCCCAGGTCGTCTCCCCATGCTGCCTGGCTTTGACCCGGGTAAGCATCTCCTAATTTTGTTCCAGAAGATAGAAAACTCTTCGTGGGCATGCTCAACAAGCAGCAGTCCGAGGACGACGTGCGCCGCCTCTTCGAGGCCTTTGGGAACATTGAGGAGTGCACCATCCTGCGCGGGCCCGACGGCAACAGCAAGGGTGTGTGTGGAGCGGACGGGCGAGGGAGGGCAGGAGGCGGGGCGTGGGGATAGGAGGCGGAGCGTGGGACAGGAGGCGGGGCAAAGGAGGGCAGAAAGGCACGGACAAGTAGGAGGCGGGGCGTGAAGGGGCAGGAGGCGGGGCTTGGGCAGGAGGCGGAGCAAAGGAGGGCAGAAGGCACAAACAAGTAGAAGGTGTGGCTTGGGGCAGGAGGCGGGGCGCTGGCAGATAGGAGGCGGGGCTTGAAGGAGCAGGAGGCGGGGCACAGACTAGTAGGAGGCGGGACATGATTGATAGGAGGCGGGGCGTGAGTGCCTAGGAGGCGGGGCCAGGCCTGATTGAGAACTGAACCTTTAGCACTGGGGCAGATGAGATCAGAACTGGAATAAGGATAAGGACATCTGCAAGCCTGACAGGGAGATTTAAAGGTGCTTTTTAGTCTCTCGAACCATCCAGTCTTTCAAGCTCTCTCTGATTCTCCCTGTCTCTCTCAATCTCTATGCCTATCCCTTTTAACTTTACCTGGGATGCTCCCACTCGCCCTCCCCACCCTAATGCCCTGACCTGCACCCTCTTCTGGGTCCACGGGCTGTGGCTCAACCTCTCTGGTCCCCACAGGGTGTGCTTTTGTGAAGTACTCCTCCCACGCCGAGGCTCAAGCGGCCATCAATGCCCTGCACGGCAGCCAGACCATGCCGGTGAGTGAGACCCCCTCCCTGGGTGGGAGTAGGGGCGACAGTGAGATTGAGCCAATCAGTGCTGGCGGGCCCTGCCTGCCCTGGGGGTGATAATTTATAACAGCCTCTGAAACTGGAAAGCACTCCCTTTACCCTTTAGTGCAGACAGGAGCACAGAGCGCCAGAATTTTTTTTTTTAAACTGGCCCGTTGTCTCTTGGGAGACCAGAGAGGCAAGGCAAAGACAGCTGTCTCCTCTCCACCCATCTCCAGTAGGCCCTGAAGTTGGGTACCAGCACAGCCTGGGGGCAGAGATAGGGATGCACGGTTTCATTTCCTTCCCGGTTGCAGGGAGCTTCGTCCAGTCTGGTGGTCAAGTTCGCAGACACCGACAAGGAGCGCACGATGCGGCGAATGCAGCAGATGGCTGGCCAGATGGGCATGTTCAACCCTATGGCCATCCCGTTTGGGGCCTATGGCGCCTATGCACAGGCAGTAAGTGTGGCGGGCAGCAGACAGAAGGGAGGGACTTCAGTCCTCAAATCCACACCCCTGGCCGTTCCCTGAGAGCCCAGAGACCAGGATGCATGTGGGGGGAGTGCTGTTCGGGCTGCATCACGTGCTCAGGGGCCAGGAATAAATCTAGGAAGTGGGAAGGGATTGAAAAGGAGGGGCCAGTTGGGGGCGGGGGGTGGGGGCTCTGGAGGACAGGGGTTGATGTCCAGGTTCTTAAAAAGGGATGGAACACGATGGAAGTCCTCTGAGTGAGGCCAGCAGGGTGGATTACTGGGCTTTCCTGACCCAAATCAGTGCTGAACCCTAGAAAGACTGATTGGGGTCAGGAGTGTCAGGCCTTCTTAGGATACCCTTCCGTGAGAGTTCCCATTCACCGAGGGCCTTCTGGTCACCCCTGGTCACACACCTGTAAGGAGTCCCTAACCGTTCCCACCCACACCATTCCTGAGATTTCCCAGGCCCTTCCTTAAGGCTCCGACTCACCATCCTTCTGCCCATTCTTCCAGTATCTCCCTCGAGCTCTCTCATATTTGTATCCACAGCATTCACCCCTTCAGGGATGGCCCTGAACTGAACCAGGCCTCACGTTATCTCGCTGCACCAGGGTCCAGCCCAACTAGTTTGAATTCCCTCTTTTCACCTTAGTGAGAAAGTCCTAGTCTGTGAAGTTTCACCTAGTCCATGTGTTTCCCGGCACAGTCAGCAAAGCTCCAAGTTAGAACTGTTTTGGTCAAAAGTTCCTGCAGATTGCTTCTACAGAGGCTCATCCGGCCTGTCTCAGGGTTCTAGGTGTTGCATCCTCACAGCGAACCTGTGTTACACAGGGTTAGCCAGCATCAATGGAGGGAATCCCCCTCCCCTCACTTCCTCCAACAAGAGTAGAGTCCAAAGACCATTGCTTTTAACTATAATCATCGCTGAAGGGAGGTGTTCTCTAATAGCCACTGAGGACTATTGGGCAGGAATGGGAAGGAGTGGGCGAGGGGAAGTGCATGGGGTTTTCTGGGGATGAGGCAGAGAGCTAAGTCTAGGCTCCCTGGGGTTCAGGACCTGGGAAGCTGGTCTCCAGGAAAGGAGCTTCCCTTCTCCCTGGTGGGGAGGGCTGTCTCTTTGGAAGCACGTGGTATTTTTTCCACTCCCTCTGCCCCAGCTGATGCAGCAGCAAGCAGCCCTCATGGCCTCAGTAGCACAAGGTGGCTACCTGAACCCCATGGCTGCCTTCGCCGCCGCCCAGATGCAACAGATGGCAGCACTCAACATGAACGGCCTGGCAGCCGCTCCCATGACCCCAACCTCAGGTGAGCTGATGGGGTCTGGCCAAGAGTAACTGTGTTTAAACTGGGTCTTTGGCCAATTGGAGCTGCTAGTGGGAAAAGAGTACATGGTGTGTAGGACTAACCAGGCCTGTCACTCTGGAACTTTATCTCCATAATGTTCTAATCTCTGGGGACACAGGGGCGAGGGGATGTGACTTCTATGAAGCCTATGGCATGATTAAAGAGTGCTGAACATTTCGCTCAAGTTGTTTAGCCATGTCAAAGAACAATTCGGCTTGATCTCTGTTAATGGTAAATATCTGGAAAAACTGAAATGGAAATGTCTGCCTGGGAAGAGAGAAGACCCTGACTATTTTATGTACTTGTTCAGTCCTTGGCTTAAGGCAGTGGCATTATTTGGAGTACACAGGGGTGATGCAGACCACACCAGATGGCACTATTAGAGGAGGTGACATCAAAATAACTGTTCATCATCTTTGGGCAGTATCTGAGCAGAAATCTATTATGTTTTAAATAAAAAATATCCCTATAGGTAACAACAATATTTTCATTAAGCCCAGAGTACATGTATCAATATACATACAAAGCTAGACCTGTATGTTGAGATACTTTTTGAACCTTCTAATGCACTTTGGTCAGAGGTATTATTAGCCAGTCACAGTGACACTTCAAGTCATGTGGTTTTGTCTGCATATGTTACAAGCACCTGCTGTTGTGTTTGGTGCTGCTCATGTTTCTGTCATCGCTGATTTCATCAAAATTATCTGGTGTTTTAGCTCCAATATTGTGGTAATTAGTGTCTATAAACTTTGAGCAATAACTTTTTTTGAGTGTGAAGTAATAACTAAAGAAAAAGAAGAAAAAAAAGACTTCCATTCAGTTAGTAATAATGTTATAACTGATAATGTAATCTGATGTAGAAAGATTTTACAAAGCAATGTTATTAGTATTCAAATAATCTAAGGAATATTACATTTAGATGATTTATAACTATATTTTTTTCACACAGCATTCAATGACCAAAATTGATAATAGACATTAGTAAGGATTCAGTATAGTGTAGTACAGCCCCATGAGATGGGGGTGGGATACTATGGGAGGGAGAGTTTCCTTCCATACTAGATAACTCTAATCCTTGTGATGCCATTAGCTCAAACACAGAAGTACTCTTTCCTCCCCCACCCCCATTTCCCTTTAAATCAATCTAGAACCACTGGCTTTGCCTAGCACAGTTTTATGACAAGTTACAAAGAACCATAAGAATTACGAAAGGACAAGAGGGTTGGAAACAGACCAGCTCACAAAGCAGGCTTGTCAGTGGATCTTTGATATTATTCAGTCCAGTGATTCTCAACCAGGAAGACTCTCCCTTCACTTCCTGAAGAACTTCTGGCAATGTCTGAAGGCATTTTCATTAGTCGTAATGAAAGAAGGGTATCATTCTACAATCTAGTGGGTAGAGACAGGGATACTGCTAAACACTACAATGAACAGAACTGCTTTCCATAACAAATTGACCCACATGTCAATAATGTCAAAGTTGAGAAACTCTTACCATTCCCAGAGCCTGGTGCCTTTATTTATCAAGCGTCTTCGCTGTTTAGTGCCTAGGCCATATCTACAGTCTTCTTACTCCAAGATCTGGCCTTGATATTTCTCTTTCCTTCCCAACTAAACCCACAGAAATCTGTGTCATTGAAAGACCCAACTTGGGAACTCCTCTATAGCTCTGGTGCCCAACTTCAGGAACATTCATTACTAGCCCAGACATTTGGCCAGCCCAGATCCTCATCCACTGAGAGAAAATCTACCTCATCCAAAGAGAGAGTTTACTTGCTGTGGTCAATTGACCCCAACTTCACCCCTGCCATCATTGCATCACCATCATTGCCTCAAATGGAGGAGACCCAAATGATCTATTTTGTGTATGAGATAGGGCTGAGTCTGCACTCTCCAATGAGCTCTTCCTAAGTGCAAGAGATCCCTAATTATGAGATACTGCTTCCATCTGACAGCATAACTCTTCCTGGGAAGGCAGATCAGCTCTTTATTGATTTAATTAAGAGTCATTCTAGCAACTTAGAGATCTCCTTGGTGACTCAACAAGAACTAGCCCATCTTGAGTGTGCAGAGTTTCTGACTGGGAGGCAGGGGAAGTGAGGACCAGGTGAGGTGAAAGTGAAGGGCATTGAAGATGACAATGGTCAAAGGAGCCTTCACGGAGTAGGTGGGACTTGGACCCTGCCTTAAATAATGGATGTATTTGGTATGGGGAAAAGTCATCCTAAGAAAAGAGACAACTCGAGGAATGGCTAACAGATAAAATTAAGCTAGTGTGTGAGTTCCAAGTTGGTCCCCAGGCAGCTAGGGTCAGCAGGATGGAATTCCATAAAGTATCCTTCCTTACCTTTGTTTTACTTGCTTCCTCCACTCCTCCACCTTTCCTCAACCCTGAAACCAGGTGGCAGTACCCCTCCGGGCATCACTGCACCAGCTGTGCCTAGCATCCCGTCCCCCATTGGGGTGAACGGCTTCACTGGCCTCCCCCCACAGGCCAATGGGCAGCCTGCTGCTGAAGCTGTGTTTGCCAACGGCATCCACCCCTACCCAGGTAAGTACGTCTGCAGTCCACCCTTCCTTCATTCCTTCTCCCTTCTGCCCTGGCCCTTACTTGTAAAGCAGCAATGTTGTGACTCCTGCATATGCCCTGTTCCTCAGCTGCTGTGTATCATTGAATCGGAAGTTACTTATAGCTGATCCTCCAGTGGGTTTTCAGGGGCAATTAATTGCATGGAAGGAAATTGCCCATCTTTCTCCCACTAAGAAGCTGGCACGTTTGAATTGTGTGCCTTTGGTATGACAACACAATTCCTTACCACTGGGCCACCAGAGTTCTTTGGAGAAACCTCAAATGTGATCAGGGTTAGCCAGCCTCTGGCACTCCCTCAGGGAGCCTATGGTGGGAGAACAGAGACTAGGTGAGGTAAGGAGAAAACCCCATTACTGGGACTTGGTGAGAGAGAGGAAGAGAGAGACTGGTGTTTTTATTGTAAGCTGCTGTTGAATCAGTTCTGACTCATAGGGCCCCGTGATCTTCTCTAAAGGATTCTCAAGGATGTACCCTTTTTGGATGCAAATCACCAAGCCTGTCTTCTGAGATACTTTTGTGTCATTTTGAACCACAAACCTTTTAGCTAGTCATCAAGTGCCACTCAAACTTGTTTTCATCGAGCTGATTCTAACTCTAGTGGCCCTACAGAACAGAGTAGAACTCAGGGTTTCTAAAGCTGTAATCTTTACAGAAAACTACTGACCTTTTTGGTTAGCCACCAACTTCAACCAAAGTGTTCTCTCTCTCTCTCTCTCTCTCTCTCTCTCTCTCTCTCTCTCTCTCATTGCTGTCTAGTCAAATTCTACTTATAGCTGACCCTTCATTATGTTTCCAAGACTGTAACTCAAACAGAAGGAGATTACCAATTCGTCACCCAGTGATCTGCTGGTGGGTTTGAACCACCAGTGAGGCTCAGCCTTTGGGGCTAGAGACTACATTCCCTACAGACTACACCACCAGAACTCCCTATAAAGAAATGATTAAGTACAAATTATTTGAGTGTGACTTTCACTCATAAGGAAACGAAGAAATAGAGATTAAAATAATTAGATTTAAAGTTAAGTGGTAAAAGACTGTTTGAAGAATGAGGTGGACATATATGGATTGACAGCCTCACTAGGATATACTCTGGTATGTACTTAGGCGTAAAACCAACAGTCAGGATCCTGGACAGACAGTCAGAACCATGGACAGATGTTCAGCACCTTGGACAGCTCTCATGTTTGCCCATTTTCCCTCAGCCATTAGTGAGTGGAGCCTGACACCTAGGAAGATTCAGGACTGTTTCTGATTGGCTTTCTTCTTCACAGAGTCAGCACATCATATGTCATGAGAGTGGTTGAATTGAAGTAGCTACTCGCTCAGATTCAGAGGACGGGCTGGCATTAGGGCAGGGAGCTAATCTAGGCTATAGGGAGCTATAGAGCCAACTGCTGGTTGACTGGTTGAGTCCATTTCTAATTCAACAATGAATTTGCCTAGACTGTACTCTTTATGGGAATAGACTACTAGCTCTTTTGTCTGTCAAATTATGAAAATAAAATGAAAGAGACTCTTCTTTGTAGGATAAAGAAACCAGAAAGGCTCTTATTGGACTTAAAATTGGCAGAAATGAGGAGTCCACACTTATGGAATACAGGTTATACTGGAAATGCATAGGAAGGGAGAGCTCTGCCTGGCAGGACAGGCAGTGGTAATGAGGTTGCCTGTCTGGGACAGAGAAGCCCAGTCTGAGTTGGGTCAGCAGGAGGAATGTCCCAGTACTCCCCAATCTGGTTATCTATTGGAACCCACTGTGACATTTAATAAAACCATAGAAGCTCTGACAACCTTATCTAGAGCAATCACCAGATATTATTGTATTTAAAAGTTTCACCAGCAACAGAGTGGAGGGCCACTGCACTACAGTGAAGTAGAGGAGAATATCTTGATTCTGAACTTGAAGTTGCCTTTGATCCCATCCCACTGCATAGCCCTCAACTCAGACCTTAGTCCACAGAACAGAAGCCAGAAAAGCCTACAGAGTGAAGTGGCAGGGCCTATAAGAACTTCAGTATTATTTCAAGATGAAGACTTTGAATTGGTGGCAGTGACAAGGGAGTAACTTATTAAGCTGGAGTGGAGAGACCAACCCCCCACACCCTGTTCTCAGGTTCTTGGACTGGGAGATAGAGTCCCCAGCACATCTGGGCAGCTTCATTCCCTTACTTCTGCCTGCCCACAAACCCATCTGGATCCCTGGATCTTGACAAACCTGTTCCTTCCCCACCCCCGCCAGCATCTGTGAGTTTTTTTCCCTCATGGACTTTGGAAATGTTTTTCCCCCCATTTGTAACAATCTGCCACATCCCATAAACAATTCTCTGCCAGAGCAGAAGGGAGGGACAGAGGGAAGGAAAGGAGAAGAGTAGTGCATTAAAAAAATTAATTTACCATCTTTAAACGTGGAGTTTGGAGCCGCTGTAATGAGCGAGATCCTTCAAAATGTTCACTCTTCGGCAGTTACTAATGAAAGTCGTTAGGCTCGGAGGAGAGAGGGATCTCAGAGATGCTCCGCTGTGTTCCTAGCCACAGGTAGCCTCCCTGTTCTCCCCTCATGGTTATCAGGTTCATGTTTGAGGCACGCAGTGTGACCTCTACTGTGACATATCACCCTAGAGGGGTAGCTCTCAGATATTAAAGACCATCCTTCTTTCAGTCATAACTGTTTGCTGAGCACTTACTATGTGCCTGGTACTCTGGTGGGTGGGGCTGCCATTGAAATTGTGCAGATTATATCCTGTGCAAGGATGCCAAACTGTGTTCCCAGAGGAAAAGGCACTTGGTGCAGTTTACATGAAGGCTCTGTGTGGACCAGCAGCTGGGTAGACTAAGAGGACAACCCAGATATAGTGCTACCTTCAGAGCTGAGAAGCTGGTCGAAAAGACACACAGAGGAAGCGGGAGACACCTCCTGGGCGAGCGCCATTGATCCTGGGAGGTCCGGATCCACACTAGGGGAATTGTAGGGCTAGGGTTTTAGACTAGGACACACCAGTCAAGAAAGAGTTTCTTTCAGCTTCCCACCTCTTAGCAGTGCCTTCCGGAGTCCAGCCCCCTACGCACCCCAGGTCCTGGAGAGTAAAGAACCTACCATACCCACCAGTGCAGGGCGGTGATACACATCTTTTTTTTTCTCTCTTTGCTCCCCTGAGGCTCAGACATTGTTGATCTGTTGAAAGTTTACAGAGAATCCCAAGAACAAGAGCTCAGAAGGGCTTTTGTCCAAGAGCCCAGTAGCCCATTAGCCCAAGGGTTCACCCCTTGTACTGGGTAGGAGACATGTGAGTGGAGGTCAAAAGGTAGGAGGAAGGGGGATGAGGAAAGTTACGCTGGGTGATCCAGTGTGAGCAGACATCACTTGTGACCCATCAGCTTTGCTTTAGGAGTGGGAACCTGCATGTCAGTGAAGACGCCCCAAGAATGAGTGAGGTCCACTTTGAGCCGGAGCGGGGGGCCAGGAGGCCAAGTGGCCTTCTCATCACCCAGCCTCGTTCTGGAGGCTGTTCCTTCATTCGCGGCCTCAGACTCTGAAAGGGTCAATGAGGTTGAGTCCACCCTCCTGACAACTCCAGGCCCCTCCCCACCTTCTCTAGAGTGTGTCCTCGCAATGGTGCCTTCTCGGGCCTCTGTTTCCCCGGCTCACAGTCTTCTGCATGAGCCGCCCCCTCCTATAGGCCCACCACTGGCGGGTGATGCGGTCCGTGGGCTGGCTGCACGGCGCTGACCTCTCCCTCCTGTGTCCTTACAGCGCAGAGCCCCACGGCCGCGGACCCCCTGCAGCAGGCCTACGCTGGAGTGCAGCAGTATCCAGGTCGTTAGTATCCGCAAGTCTCACACGGCTCTTCCAGGGCCATGCCCATCTTCCCACGCCAGTGGCACTAGGGCCCCCCTCCTGCCCTCAGCCCAGGCCCAGCACTATAGGGGGAGGGAAAGGGGAGGAGCGAGTGGTGGGAACTGTGGGGGAAGGAGGGGCTGTATTGGTAGAGGCCGCTTTGCCTCCTAGTCATGTTCACCCCGATGTGGCAGATGGCTCCATGGGGTCAGGGGAGGGGGTGAGGACATCAGCCACTTGGCCTTGTATATAATCACCTATCCTTGTAGCCACCTTTGCCATCTCCATGGTTCACTGATAACCACATTTCCCATCTCCATGGTCCTCCATGATTCACTGAGTGAACAGCAGCAGCGGGAAGGGGGTACCTAGGCTGTTCCCCCTGCAGTCCCCTGTCACTACCTTTAGAGGTAAAGATCCTAGGTTTGAGGGAAGGAGAGATCCTGGAAGAGAAGCAGTCCTCCCCCAGCCACATACAGGCAGCAGGGGTGAGAAGTGGGCTAGGGTGACAGGAAGAAGGGAGAAATAGAAGACAGCAGACGAAGGGAGAGATGAGAAGAGCGGCTTGGGTCACGATCTGTGACCAAGCCGCTTCAGTGAACCCGAGGAGGCTTTCAACTAGCTTACACTCTGGCTGGGCAATGTACCCTAGGAACCTTGCCTACCAGTGCCCCGCTGTCTGACCAGGCTCCAAGCCTCCTCATGACGCTTAGAAAGGTCAGTAATGTCACCAAGGAAAGACCACAGGGCTGCCTGTCAATGTGGAGTCTTGGCATGGCACTAGCTGAACCACTGCCAAGACCAGGGGGAAGGGCTGTCAGCTGCTGGGCCTCCTAGCAGTGACCACAGCTCCTGTCCATTTAGAGAGCCAGGCCAGTCTGAGGAGGGGGCTTGCGAGCCATTCATGTCTCAGGTCATCTCAGCTGAGTACAGATAACAGCAGAGTGGTGCAAATTGGTCCTCTGGTCTTGGGGTCGTCCCCTTGCAGGCTTTCCTGAAACCAAGTTCACACTTGTTGAGTGGCTTTTATCTCATCCTCTCTGTACCCCACCCCCCTCAGAGTCAGCATGACCCAGGGAAGGAAGCAAACTTTCTAGAGTGCTTGTATCCGAGACACTCTGATGCCCTGTCAGTGTGGACTGTCCACCTGCATATGGACTGTCCTTTATTTCAAAGGACATTCCTATCTTACACCCACTCACACACAGTCTTCATTCCGCTTCTTTTGAATTAGTGTAGAGACCTGAAAGCTGCCTTTATCTCGTGTGACTGCGCTGAAATGCACTTGTTGTCTGCTCTGCTTTCACTGCCCAACACTGAGACCTCTCTCTCTCTTTCTTCCTGCCTCCCTCTGTCTCTCTCTCTCTCCATGTCACTGTCACCGTCTCTCGCTCTTGCCTGTTGTCTTTGGCCTTCCAGCAGCCGCCTACCCTGCTGCCTATGGTCAGATAAGCCAGGCCTTTCCTCAGCCGCCTCCAATGATTCCACAGCAGCAGAGAGAAGGTGAGTCTATGAGCTGGGGCTCCTGGCCCTCCCTACCCTCCTTCTCCCTAAGAGGCTGCTCGCTTGGCCGCTGGTATGGGTATTCGGTTGACAGGGGACCAGATTGTGTGTTGTGTTCAGGAGGTCTGTGAGGTTTGCCATGCTCTCTGGCCCAGCTTGGATGGATTTTCTTGTGGATGGCTCTGTAAGCTCAAGAAATGGGCAACCAGGGCACAAGGGCTTGAACGGAAGTCCTCAGAGCCAGAGGGGCACACACAGCTCAACTCCACTGTCTTCTGCCACTTGCCACTGACTGATGGCACAGAGCCTAGCTGTTGATCACTGAGCTATAAATGCGTCCTCAGTCATGGCTGGGTGTACTCCTTCCTGGGCAGAGCCTCTAACCAGTCTTCAATAGAATTCCTTGCCTAAGGGGGCTCTTATGGAGACAAGAAAGCCCAATCCTTGGATGCCATACTCTAAGCTCCTCCCTTATGCCTCCCACTCCATGTACTCCCCCGAGGGAACTGACAGCAGAACTGGGAGAGGGACTGACTCTGGAAATATGGTGGATTTTGTGGTACCAGCTCTGAGGGTGGCGGGCTTTGAGAACAGAAAGGTTCATAGACCAAGGTGGTTAGGAGGTGTGTCCTTTCAGGAGGTGAGGTCCAAGAATGCTTTCCTGATGGGAATGGTTTGACCAGTGGAGAGAAAGGGGAGAGAGGGGAATGGCTGGAGGATGGGGTAGGCATGTAGTTTGTTCTGCCAGAAGTCCACCCTTTGGGTGACCAGGAGGGGCTGCTGGAACTCTCAGGATAGATACTTAGAGGTGAGGCTATTAGAATCCCTGGTGGGGGCCCAGGAGAAGAAGGGGTTGCTGGAAAATCCCTGGCATGGGCAGGGATGGTGGTGAGGAGATGGGCTGTGGACTGACGCGCAGTATGCTCCCACCCCAGCACCCAGAGGTTCATGTGAGCAGGACAGGCTGGCTGTGTCAGGCACCCTGAGGGCTCCTCACTCCTGCCCACAACGTGAGGGGCAGGGTCATTAACACAGTTAACGTAAACCCCAAGAGAAAGGTCACCCTTTCAGGGAGGCCACTGCATCTCTCCCCACTGCCCATGTAATTAAGGAGTTGCAGTGGCTCCAGACACCTACTTTGAAGCCCCTCTAGGAGGTTCTCCGAGAGCTGTGGGGAGTGGGTTAGTTTTAGAAAGGAACCTGGGGTCTGCTGTTCTGTTTGATCAAGCAGGCTGTGCACTGGCCACAGAGCTCAGGGGGCTGAGAACTTGGGCTTTCGAGCCAAAGTGTGTGAGTTTGACTCCCACCCTCGTCTTCTCCATGGGACTCAGGACAAGTCACCCGAGATCTCTCAGTATTATAGCCCTCATCTGTAAAATGAAGATAATGACCGTGGTCCCCTAGAGGGGGTGTAGATGTGAAGATTAGCCTAGCCCAAATCTGCCATCTCAACTCCAGTCAGGAATCCTCTGTGGGTTTCTCTGTGTGTGCAGCAGCCCCTCCTCTACCTAATTGACACCCCCTCCACAGTGGCTCAGGAGGCACCGTGCCCTAGTTTGCAGGCATTCTGCAGATCCATCGGTCTCCCCAACAGAGCTGAGCTAAAGGAACCACAATATGGACCATGGGTCCTGCTTCACCAGAGGGGTCCTCATTGGGCTGTGGCTCTGAAGCCCTCCTACCCTGCCCTCCTCCTCCACGGTCCCAGCCTTCCAGCCTCATATCAGTCAGACTGGAGCCTCAGAGAACCATGCTCCCTAACTCTACTACCGTCTCCCCACTGGGTGGCCCATCCTCATCCTGGCATCACTGTGGCATTTGAGCTCAGGACTCACACACACAGTCACTCACACATACAGCCGCAGGCCATTGCTGCCCTAACCAATAGCCCCAATTGCTGGCTACCTTGTATCTGCACTGTCGCTATGCATTTGGCTCTGAATTCCCTCCCTCATCTCTCCTGCTCCCCACATCAGCTCATGTGACACTCATTAAGCCTCTCCTTGGGGTGCTCTCTCACTGTTGTTCTTGATGTTCCCTGATGTTGTCTCACAGTTCCCCCTGCTGGGATAAGGCACCTCAGAGGAGCAGGGGCTGGAGAGGGTAGGATGCGAACACACCTATAAAATGATAGTGTATACAAGAGCCAGGTCGTGGTACCAGGGTTGCTGGGGAAGGCTCTATGAGCCTTGGAGGAAGATCTCTGCACATAGGGTTGGGGGCAGGCATTCCAGACAGAAAGAAGAACGAGAGCAAAGACATGGCTATTGCAGGGCATGAGGTGAGCCAGGAGGAGGGGAGGCGGGCAGCTGAAAGGGAGAGCAGAGCCAGGTCAAGTTAAGTTCAGGCCGCAATTGTAGTGTTGTTAGAGTCAGGGATGAAAAAGAAGACTGGATTCCTCCAGCCCAGCCAACGTCTACTTCTCTATCATGATCATTAGCCCACATGATGCCAGGGAACACAAGGCCATGCTGGGGGCTGCAGAGTCCTCCCTCGCTCGCTGCGGCAGAGGCTGTCTCCACCTAGGCCACACTCAGGGATGATGTCTCAAGTCTGGGTTCTGCCAGGGCTGCAGTGTGCTCTGGTGCTACATCCTTAAGCTCCGTTTCACCATCTCTCCAGAAGGCTGGGCTGGATCACATGATCCCTGAAGTCCTGCCAGTGATTCCATCTGTGTGTTCTAGAATCTGTCAATGAGGGGATGTAGTAAGGGCTTGGGGGGGGTGGGGGGTGTAGCTGGAGGAAGACAAGGAGAACAGCTTGCAGAACTTGGAGTGAGGCCCTAAGTTCAAGGCAAGCGTTGGCTTGGGGCGGGGCCCCTGGCGAGACCTGAAGAGGGAGGAGGGCCAGAGGAGTGAAAGTACGTGCTGGGTGGGGGTGGGGGAGACAGGAAAGGGAATGTGCCCCTCCTCCTAAGGAGTGAGATGCAGTGGAAGAAAAAGCCCTTTTAGATACAAAATAAAAGGAGCCCTCAAACCACGGACTGGAGGACAAACTCAGGAAGCACCTGAAAGGAGAGCCCAGAGGACTTTGGGGAGGTGATAGGGAGGGTATCTGGTGGGCTTTGTGGAGGAGGTGTGGCTTGGATTGCACCTGAGAGCAGATTCCTTTCCCAGGACATTCCCATCTAACTGGCTCCATCAAGGGTGCCATTGAGCCAAAGAGAACATGGCCTGTTGGAGGGGACCAGTGAGAGGAGGGCCATCAGAGCATGAGGACCCAGCCAGGAGCACTCCTGGAAGCGGGTGTGGGCACATTCATGTGGCATCAGCTGGCACAGTACCTGAGAGACAGGGGGTGACATATGCATGAGGTTGGGAAGATGAGGCAGAGCAGGGAACAAGAACTGAGGAGACCAGCACCTCAGAAGGCAGCTTTGGTAACCAGAAGAGTCTGCTGTGTGTTGTGAGGTAGATGGAGGGAAAGCGGGAGGGAGGAAGGGGGGGTGCAGGGCAGGGAAGAAAGCACGAAGGATGAGTGTTTGCTCCAGACCTTGATTAACCAGCCACCTCACTGGCCCAAGAGAACAGGACATCTGGTCTGTCCATAAGAGTCCATTAGATCCCTTGCAGATTTCACTTTTAAATCCACACTTAGGTTCCCACCAGCCCCTGCTCAGGAGCTTGGCCTTAATCAGTACAGCTCTTTCCTTTCTCATCCACCACAGATGGGAAATCAACACTGAAACCACCACAGGTCACTCAGAAATACTACCTGACATATAGAGTCCTCGGTTCATGATGGCAGGAAAATAGCCAGTGCAGTCTGGAAAGGTTTTTGGAATTTGTTGGTCACTGGAATAGGGGAAAAGAATAAATCTTGAGCTGAGCTATCTGGAAATTTCAGAAACCCGAAGACCTCAGGTGCTCCTAGGAGTTGAGGATTATGTTGGATAGGCAGAGAACAGAAGACAGGATGATGATGAAAAAGAATGGCCTGAGTTTGTAGCCTGGCTCTGCCCTTACCCACTGTGTGACTTTGGGCAGGTGGTTTAACCTCTCTGGGTCTCAGTTTCTTCATCTGAGATGTGAAAATGGCAATAGTTTTTACTCTACAGGGTTGTGGTACAGAGTGAGTGCCTTTCTGTGCATATACAGTGCCTAGCACACCCCAGTACGTGGAAGTGGCAAGGTGGTGGGGCAACAAACCGGGGGAACCTTTCATGTAGTGAGGCTCAAGGGTCCCCTGGGTGCCCCTGAGCCTCAGTGTGAAGGTGTGCCTGCCAGCCAATAGAAGCATGATAAGGCTTGATCTTGACCTCAAGGCCAGGGAGGGGGTATAGGTGAGGGGCTGTGGGAGGCATATTGGGGGAGAAATCCTATAGAGGCACCACCCCAGGAGGATTCCAGACCTGAGTCCAAGCTGGGCCTCTGGGGAGCAGAAGTGGTCTTTCCCTGCTGGCCCAGCCCTGCTCATGCCAGTCTGGGTGGTGATCTCTGCCCTCCACCCACCTACTCCCACCAGGGTAGGGGCCTGGTAGGGTCTCCCAAGTCTACTTGTACCCTCCTCTTCTCAGTACCTTATCTTCGGGGAAGAGGCTGACCACACCTTGGGAAAACCTAGGCTCATTCACCCCATTTTTGCATCAGTTCTGCCCTGGATTCCCCTGAGTTTCCAGACTCTCTGTTATCAGAGCCATTTTGTAGATTAGGTAACTGAGGCACAGAGAGGTTCAGTGACTCACCCAAAGGGCAGAACAGAGAGTAGAGCTCAGACCTGGGGCTCAGCACCCCTCATTCTTCTTGGGCTACCCTCAGATCTTGGATGAGACTCCCCCTCCTAACCTTGCCCCCCACCCCTCCCCGCTGCCGCTGCCTAACTCGCTCACCTCTCCTCTGTCTCTCTCTTCCCCCACCCCGCCATCCCTCCTCCCCTGCCCCCTACCCTCCCCCCACCGCAGGGCCCGAGGGCTGTAACCTGTTCATCTACCATCTGCCCCAGGAGTTTGGGGACGCTGAGCTGATGCAGATGTTCCTCCCTTTCGGTAATGTCATCTCCTCGAAAGTGTTTGTGGATCGGGCGACTAACCAAAGTAAATGCTTTGGTGGGTAAAGATAACAAACCAATTAGCTTCACCTAGGACAGGGTGGTGCTCGAACCCATTTACTGGTGTCCAAGTGCTTTTAACCTGCTCCTTCACAGGCTCCCCCCCACCCCCGCCCAAGGGCTCCCCCAGCCCAGCCTCCGCCTCCATCTCCCACCCTTTCTCTCTTTCACTGCTCCTTTTGCTTCTTTGCTTGTCCTGGCCCCCTGCCGAGCTCCTCCTCATCGAGGTCCCAGTCAGAGAAACAGCTTTCCCCTCCCAACCCAAAGCCTTGCTCAGAAGGAAAAGGGGGCACCTGGGGCAAAGTGTGGGAGGGGGCAGTTAGCCAAGCCCAGCAGCAAATGGAGATGTCCATTTGCCCAGCAGCCCCTCTTCTACCGTAATCAGAAAGCCTTCTCAGGGTAAAAGCCAAATGTGATCCTTGGCTGGGGGAGTCAGTCCAGCGAGGCCCCCACCCTGCCTGCACCATAGTGTCCTCTGCCCACCTCTTTCCTGCTGCATTCTGCAATCTGTCTCCCCTGCTCTTGCTCCCCTCTTGTTATCCAGTGAACCCTCCTTCCCACTCACCCCCTGAGGCCACCAGAGCTGGGCATGGTTGAGAAGTCAGGAAAGGAGGGGTCCCTGCCCGCAGGAAACCAAGATCTGAGCTAGGCTGAAAATCACACTTAAGCAGTCGTAGTGAAATCCACAAGGCACTGAATAGTGAAGTCCCCAGAAAGACAGATGGATGTGGAGAGGCACCTGGGAGGTGGAGGGAGTTGCAGGCAGAGAGGGCAGAGTGGACCGAGGCTTGATGGCTGGGGTAAGAAGCCTCAAAGCCACGGAGACAGGAGGCCTGGGGAGAAAGGAGGGCTCTGGGGGCACTAATTGTGTGGGAGGGTCGGCGCAGGCGAGAGTGTTGACCCGTTCAGAGAAGATCTCATCTGATGTGGCAGGGCATGGCAGGAGGTGGGACGTTTTATACCTGAGAGTAAGAGAATAAAAGTACAGCTTCCAGGAGACTCGTCCTGCATCAGTTTGGGTTACAGTGTGTAGTAGAGGCATAGCAGGAATATCACTTTCCCAGCTGCCCTTGAGGGGGCGCCAATGAGCAGTTTCAACAAGCCGTGGCAGTTCCCATTGGTGATGAAATCATAGAACAGATCATTTGCCAACTGAATCCTAATTGCCCTGTTTGTCATAGACACACGCTGAAGAGAGGAGTTAGGGATACATTACTGGATGTCCAGTTGCATCTCAATGTCAGATAAGCCAGGGCTATTTTTAGTGTAAGTTTGTCCTGCATATCCCATGCAGTATTTGGATGTACTCATGCAAACATTTTTTTCATTGTTTATCTAGTATTTTAATTTGGGCATTTTATGTTCTTGGTTGCTAGGGTTAACTCCGGCAATCCTATGCAGCTTGAGAATCCTTGAGAAGCTTGACATCCTGCCTGGCCCCTCTCCCACTCTTCCTCCACATCCATCAGCTGTCCCTTCCGGGACAGGAGCCACTCAGGAATCTCTGTACCTTGAGAGATTCAATGGCTGTGCATTAATATCACAGAGAGCTGCATATGGAACCCAAGCCAAACCTTTGCAGCTCAGATTCTGGGGCTTTGAGGAGAGACTAGGAACCTCTGTCAAGTGAGAGTCCAGGTCACAGAGAAATACACAAGCATAGAAGAATCTGAAAGCGCATATTAAGGGGATTTCAGTTTGAGAACTCACTGTAGGCTTGAGGTTTCAGGGCATGCTACCCAAAGCAGCCAAGATCCTTCTACCCTTGTCCCCACTCCCTCTGCAGCTGCCACAGGAAATGAGGCACAGAATTGTCCCAGCAGCTTTGTTCTCTTTGGGTTTGGAAAACTCAAAACAACAAGCAGGGCTACACCTCTTCATTGCTGGATGTTTCTCCTTACAGAATTGCAACTACACAAGTAAAAACAACACACTGAGAATCCTTTGCATCTGGTCCTGAAGTAAAGGTTCAGATGTTACGTAAATTGGAAAGAATCAGCTGAGACTCCTGGGGAACCCCTACAGGTTCAACAGGAATCTCCTACACTCCCAGTCCTGGAGGCTGGCACAGAGGGCTTGTATCCCAGTCTATGAAGGGCAGTTCCTGACAATCTGCCCTCAAGTCCTTCCCTCAAGCTGACAATCTGCCACCCACCATTGTTGTTAGATGCAGCCGAGTCCGGTCTGGCTCACAGATACCCTCTGCTCAGTAGGACATAACATTTGCCACTAGCCCATTTTAACTCTTCAGGGGCTTTTGGTATAGTGCACTTGGGCTCTCTCTTCTCGAGCACACATCCAGTGCTGAATTTGTCTGCCTGAAAGTACGAAAGCTCCCCCAGCACTGGCCCCATCCAGCCCATTTGGTTTCTCACTGTGGCTCTTGAGATGTCTTGAGTGGCCTCCGGTACTTATGAGCATGTCGTTTAACTCCCAAAGCCTCAATTTCTTCATTAAGGAAATGGAGACGCTTCTAGCCATCCCATAACGGATGGCATGAAGATTACAGCAGATGTGTGAGTGAGGGGCTTGGCCTCAGGAGGTGCTATTATCCTTTTTATGCCCAAAGCCATTTCATGTTTATCATAAAAAAGGGGGTTCTTATCTTAAAGCAAGCCCCTCAAAGGCCCTGGCTGCTCTCTATAAGCATGAGAGGCATCTTTCAGACATACAGCTAGAGCAGATCCTATGGGTAGGAGGGCTGTGCAGTGAGGAGACAGGGAACATAGCTGTGCCCATGGTCTGGGAGGCAGAAATGTCCTCAGTGTGAGCAGAGGTGGAAGAGGGGAATTCTGGGAGAAAACAGACTGAACTGGAAAACAGGAAGCCTGAGAGATAGTGCCCTGGACCCTGTCCGCTGGGTAAGGAGTGAGATGTACTCATGGCTGCCACCAGGTTAACAAGCAAAACTAGCTGAAGAACAGTTCCTGTGAGCCTCCAGAGTCCTCAGCAAAGGCTGAGCCTGGGATGATGTTTTCCTCCTCCACGTGCTTCCCACTTCTCACTCTCCCTACCTTGTAGTCTCTTAACTTCATCCCAGACAGTGCCACCGGCCTCTCTTATCTTTCCCTCATCTCCTTTCAGCTCTGCTCCCCTTGAAAGGAGAGTCTCCAAGTTTAGGAGGTGATGTAAGAGTTGGAGCTACGGTGCTGGTGGGCACAGATGCAGCATGTCACCCACAGTCAGTCTACCTTGTTCTGGGCAGGTGTAGATGCATCGTTTGTGCATCTGAAAGCTCCTCTGGTCTGCTAAGGGCTTTAGTCAGCAAAAACACAGGCTGGACCGGGTTGGAGGGACTAGGGCTGGATGAGAGGGAGGAGAAGAAAGGAGGACTGGAGAGTCATCTCCAACTATTGAGCATTCCACATCTTTGCTAATGGCTTGGGTGTATAGATGTCTATGGAGATTGGTTGTGTTGCCCTGGCCTGGGTCAGGTCAGGGATCGAGGTCACTCTACCACTCTCTTCTTTGATGGCACGTGGCTGCGTGAGCGACTGTGAGCAGAGCAGACGAAAGACTAGCGAGCCAGGCAAGGAGAGACTGGAGAGTTGCAGCACGAGAAAGAGCCACTGAGTGGGGATAGTGAGGAAAAGGGATTTGAGAGAGTAGAGAAGTCACGATTTAACCAAGAAAACAGCCTCCACTTCATATGGCACCTGGCTGTCCCTCCTTCTAGTTGCCATCTGAGGACAAACACTCCAACTGAGGCGTGTTTGTGGGTTGGCCTGAGAACCCAGTCAAGCTTCATTTCATATATTTTGCAAGATCTCAGTCTGTTTTACGGAGATGGAAGACCTCTTAAAGTCATATACATTCAAGAAAATACTAGGTTAAACAAAACAATGAAAAGGCCTTATGGCGAACTTGGGGTGTAGAGCCAGCCCTGAACTGGCCCAGAGGCACCTGGCTATGAACTTGCCCACAGAAAGTCCTTTCTCAGGGAGCACGTATTCGAGCCAGTTTAGAGAGTGCTGACACAGAGCAGTGTCATATGTGAGCTCTGGGGAAATATAGTGAGCTCTGGTGGCCAAGTGGTCAGGAATTGCATTACCAACCCAAAGACACACAGTTCAAATCCACCAGCTGCTCTTTAGGAGAAAGATGGGCCATCTCCTCCCCTGTGAACGCTTGTGCCTCTGAACACTTGCTGGAGGGCCAACTACAGGTCTGTTCCCACTTGATGGTACATAGCAACAAAAATGAAGCAGCTGTGTCCTGAGATCCAAGAAGCCAACTTCCAATTGGCCTGTATTGCATGACCCTTCCCCATGTGGGAGTTGCTTGTTAGAGAAAATAACTGGAGCCAGAGGATTTTTGGGAGTACGGAAGGGGTTAGAAGTACTCTGAGGTTCCTAGTTCATAGACTACTAGTGGTTTTTTTGGTTTCGGTTTTGGTTTTTTTACTAATAGAGCTATTCCCCCCCCCCACACTCCTGTCAGAGATGTTTGAGGGGGCCAGGGGGACACATGAGTTGGTGATATGTTTGAGGGGACCAGGGGGACACATGAGTTGGTGATTGGTCAGGCTCGAGGGTGTCAGCATATGTGGGGTCTGGAGTGGGGGGAGTGGAAAGAGACACTAAGCTGGCAGCCATGGTTCTTGCTCATGATGACCCTATAGACAGGCTAGAACTGCCCCATAGGGTTGCCAAGGCTGAGTCACTTGACAGCAACAGGCTGCTACATCTTCCTTCCCAAGGCTGGCGGGTCAGCAGATGAACTCTAATTGTTTTTCAACCGGGGGTGTGTGTGGGGGTCACCAGGCTCCTCTCTGGATGCCAGGTTAATGTGAGTGCAGCCTGTCTGGATGTCCCAGTGTCATCCTAGAAGCCTGGCTGGGGGCAGCCTCGGCCGGAGGACCAGGCGCTGGGGCGGAGGGTTGGACAGGACGCTGGCCTCTGGCCCTCGCCGTCGGCCAGGCAGCGAGGGGGGCATCCTGATCGCTCTCCGTGGTGGTGCCTCCCCTCCGTCCCCCTCGCACTCCTCTCTCTCCCCAGGCCGGCACCCTGTGCCCTCCCGCTGCCCGGCCCCCTCTTGTCAGGGAGGACAGTGTCCAATAAACTCCACCCGCAGGTGTGTCCGCCCTTTCCTAGCCGCAGGAGCGGGCTGAGGGGCCGGGGCCGGCCGGGGCGGGGGGTGGGCGCCTCTCCAGCCCCGTCATGCCGCGGGCGCTCAGCTGGGGGAGCCCCGGAGAGGGGTGCCGGCCGAAGGCGAGGTGTGGCCAGCAGCCGGGGCTCGGAGGGTCCTGCACGCGGGCTGCAGGGGGGCGCGGAGGCCGGGACGCGGGGGGCGGGGGTCACGAAGGGGGCGTGTTCCGGGGCGTGGTCGCCCGCGCCAGGCCCCGCCCCCCCGCCCCCCACCTGCACTGCCCAGCCCAGAGCGGCCCCGGGGTGGCTCCGTGGAAACCCAGGCCCTCGTCCTTCGTGTCTCGCCAGGCTTCGTGAGCTTCGACAACCCGGCCAGCGCGCAGACCGCCATCCAGGCCATGAACGGCTTCCAGATCGGCATGAAGAGGCTCAAGGTGCAGCTGAAGCGGCCCAAAGACGCCAATCGCCCGTACTGAGCGCCGGTGGGAGCGTCCCCCGGGGGAGACAAGGACTCGCACAGGTAACTGGGGGCGGCCGGGGCGCGGGGACGGGGGAGAGTTTGGAGAGGGGACACCGGACGGACCCGCCGCCGCCGCCTCTGGCCTCTGCGGGCCGACCTCTCGCTTGTGCCTTGGGCCACTCGTTTTGGCTGCACCTGCGCCTGGCCAGGTGCCCACGGGCGGCCACACAGCAGTAGACACACCCCCCCCCCCAGGAAACGGACAAGGCCATCCTCCTGCCACAGGGTCCAGAGACCTGATGTCTGGGCTTGAGAGAGGAGTGCAGTCGTGAGGGAGCCCGGGACCTGTGTCTTCAGGTCCTCTTTGCCAGAGAGCCCTGGGGTGAGCAGATGGCCAGCTCAGGCCAGGAGGCCGGGGGCGGAACAGGCTTTGCGGAGGAGAGCAGGAGCCACCTGCTGGGACCTCCTCCAGTCTCCCTACTCATCTCTCCCCACTTCTGCCAGGAGAGCTGGGGGCCTTTAGACACGTGTCCCCTTCCCTCCTCCAGTTACTAACCACTTACCTGGAAAAGAAGGGACAAGCCTGTCATAAGGAATTTTACCAGCAAAACAAAATAGAATGGCACAAAAGTTGAGGGCGAGAGGGGTCCCTTATCTTGGCCTCTTCAGTAGGATCATGATGGGTGGTTAGTGGTCACAGGTGTATCCTCTGGTCCTTTCCAGCTCAGGTTCCCCACCCCTGGACGAGGCCCTCCACTTATCCAACTTTAGCCAAAACTCAGCCAACATTAGAAATTTCCAGGTGAAGAGGGTAAGGAAGGCTGGTTCACCATTAGGGACGTATATAATAAGGGGCCCACAGAGTGAAAACCAGCTCTTGGTCAAAGCTGAAATGGGGATTAGGAGGAGAAGTTTGAAAAGTGTTCTTCTACTGAAGACTGACTTTAAAGGCTCTTTCGAAAGCTGTGAACTGCAGACCTTCACATATGCTTGCTACTGCACTAAGCACTGTTATTCTAGTAACAGCCTCAAAGGTATGCTGCATTATTTCCATTTTACTGATGGAGCATACATTACATACGATGCCTATCAGATAGAAGAGGAGTGTCAGGGTTTGAAGCTATGCTAAGAAGTTTTGTTCCAGAAGACATGTTCTTAACTCCTTCAGTTAAGAATTATAGACCCCATTCAGCCTCCTGCTCACCAGTGTCTGCCCTGAATACCAGAGGGGACATGCCATGATACTTCACTTTTTTGGGGATCACTTACCTACCAAGCAAACCTTGGGGAGCAAAAACACCCGTAGTGTGACAGGACTCTCTGTGTGAAGTTGTCCTGTCATTTCTCAAAGCCTCTTCATCTGGACAGCATTCTAACAAATGGAGCTTTCAGGCTTCATTTGGGACATAAGTTAAGACAGGGCCCACAGCACAGAGCCAGCTGTTAGTTACAATTGAGCTGGGGATTAGGGGGAGTGGTTTAAAAAGCAGAGCCGGATCTTAAACCCACTCAAGATGATTAGAAGAAGGGTCCTAAGAAGAGATAAAGGGGCTTTGAAGGGCAGACTCGAGGATCGCATTGAGAGGTGACTGCAGTCAGGCTACCAGCAAAGGAGAAAGTGGCTACGAAGCAGTTGAAAGCACAGAGTGTGTGTTGACAGAGCTCGAGGTGAGGGCCACAGCGAGAGGTGTAGATTGGGATGGAAAGGCTCATCCAAGGCCTGCCCCACGCCCCCACCCCCGCCCAGACCTGAGTTGGGCTTTGAGGGTGCCTTTGCTGTGTCTGGTCTCACCTCCCCAGGCAGTGCTTTGAGACTAGCCCCTGCAGAGCTTTAGATCTGGAGGAGCCCAGATCTTGAATATGGAATTGCTTAGGCCTGGCCTTAACTAGGTCAGTGCATCCATCAGAGCTTCCCAGATCTAGAGCTTCCCCTCGATGGTCAGGGGTGGAGTCAAGAGGGTGGCCAGCCAGGTGCTGAGCCTGGGGTGTCTGGGAGGGGTAACCCTGCTGGCAGAGGCACAGCTGCACTGTATTGAGAAGAGAAGCCACTGTGTACAGGGAGTCTCAGGAGAGACGTCTTAGGGACCGAATGAGGCCGAGCACAAGTTTGTGCATCTGTAGCTGGGTGTGCGGAAGAGAGGAAGCTATGTAGACTGCACAGCTTAGACTAGATGGGAGAAAATCCCCTAGTTGAGCTTGGAGGAGAGGGTTGTGAAATTCTCAGAGCTGGTGCAGGAGGGAAGGCAAGGAGTACCCCAAAGCTCCTTCATTGCAGTAGCTATACTGATACCCAATGTCAATCCTGAGGCTCCTTCTCCCACTCCAAAGGGACACCCCGCCAGTCAGACACCCTAGGAGGGACTTGGGGGAGGAGCTGGCAGTGCAGAGGTGGCATTTCAAGGTGGGTGGTTGGATGAGTGTGAGGCCCTGGTCTGATGTACGAAGAGTAAAGAACCTGGCCTAGCTGGGCAGGCAGAGCAGGAGACTGGAGGAAGTAGCAGGGGGATGCATCTGGGATGGTCCCGGCTGGGTTAGAACATCACATAGAACATCAGATAGATCATCACTTCCCAGCTGTTTCATCATCTGCCCACAGCAATATTGTAAGATCTCAGCCCCGCACTGCCCTTCCCTGGAGGAATGCACAAAGCTCAGGTGAAAGTCCGCAAGGTGCAGTGGTCCACAGACTGGGGACCCTGCAGATAAACCTGCAGCAGTGGCTTAAGGGTCTGCAGGCAGTTAGAGGGTGGTGGACAAGCCATGGGAGAGAATCAGGGTGGGGAACAACCTACCCTGAAATGATGAGGAGTGGAAAGACAATGCAAAGCCAGATAATGGGATGGTATTTGATAGATAAAGGGAACTCAAACGAGAGCTTTACTAGTAAGGAAAGAGGGTTATGGCATGTGAGAAGGGCCTGAGAGGTGCAGGGGAGAAGGGGACAGGGAAAATGGGGAAGGGGGGATCAGCAGAGCAAGAATGACAACATCAGAGGTACAATCCAGGGCCACAGCCCTCACCACTTGTGCACTGCCTGTCATTTTCTTATTGCCCACCCAGCAGGGATACTGCAGCCTTCCAGGTGGCTTTAGCTTATGGTCTTCCAGGTGGTCTGAGCTGTAGAATCTTCTAGTGCTTCATGTACTCAAAGCAGCCTCCGTTTGGCCACATGGGTCTCCCCAGGCAGCCAAGCTAAGGGTGTGAGTGCATTGTGAAAAGAAAGTCATGAGTGCCAAGATATTTTTATAGAATTCCAAAAACATTTATGTAATTTACTCTGCATTGCAAAACTCAACCTGTTGACTTCCTGAAGGTTCTGAGGGAAGAGGGTTGAGGCAGAGAGTAGAAGGGGGAAATGATCTCAAGTCAGAGTGGGTGCTGCTGCACTGAGACCCCTGCTATAGGGATGGTGGTCAATGGGGGATCAAGAGGGTGGGCCGCAGGAGCTGCTCTCAGTGGACTGTCCTGTGGCAGCAGCGTTTCAGGGATGAGTGTGGCTGGGGCATCAAGTCCACCTTAGCCAGTCTTGGGCTTACCCAGCAAGCCAGGGCCACCATGACGGGTCCCCACTACTGGTCATAAGCAAAAGTCAAAGCAAACTGGGGAGGTGAGCATTCAGCCCCTGGGGGAGAGAGAAAGAATCCAGGGGAGTAAAAACCAGAGAGCTGCTCCCTGAGATCTGCTTGCTGGCCAAGGTGGTTTGAGGGGCTGTATGATTTTTTTTTTCTGGCGCCCCTCGCCAAACCACCCGTGCTCCTCACCTCTCCCCTACGCATGATGGATGCCCGTAGTGGCCCTGTGTGAGGTTCTGCTCCAGTTCACAGCTGTATCATGTGTCTGCATAAACAACCGTGCGTGTGTGTACGTGTGTGCGTGTGTGTATTGATGTGGCCATGTCCTGTGTCTGCCAGCTTCTTTCATCCTTTGAGTTCTTTTTAGTTCTCTTATGATTTCACAGCTGTTCTTCCATCAGAGCTTTTAGATTGATGCTGTGGTCTGGTGCTGTATAAATATTTTTCCTTTTGATTTTGTTTTACCTTCTACCTTGCCCTACTTAACCCCCAACCCAGCTCTCCCT